GTGCTGATGTGTTCCTAATAATAACGTCCCCAGCTGCTTTGTGATTTCCTCCTGTTAGACTCTTTCATATAGGTTTCAGCTGTGGCAGAGCTGGATGTTTTTCAGGACCACACACTGCAGTTTGAGTGAGCCCAGCTCTGTTTTCACTCCGACCGCACAATAAAGTGCAGCGGAAGCATTACTTCAACTCAGCTTGACGCTTTTGTGAGAGAGAATGTGGATAAAGGGGGGTGGGGGGGTTCAGTCCATAACTGTGCAGTAAATACACTAGAAGGCACTTAGGTTGCTGTTAACACTATTGATTTTTCACTTTCCTAGAACAAACAAGCCATTTGAGCTTAAAGATACTGTATCTCCTCCGCTGCATGTTTTGGCATTTACCTTTCATTTTCTGAACGTATACATAAGCATCTTCAGTTAACTGTCCCAGATTTGGTTTTCAATACCTCCATCTCAGAGGTTTTCAGTACAGGCAAATGGAAAAGAATTTAGCATTTCTTCAACCCACTTCTCATGCTAATAACCTACTTTATATTTTTAACCGTGTGGGCAGTGTGAGCACAGTGTTTTTTGTGTTTTTCCTTCCTCTCCACATCTCCATCATCTGCTGCCACAGTGGCTACACATCTGTCCATATGTAATCTCCATAGAGTGAGGCAAACATGTACACCACCCCTTTCATTCCTGTTCAGATGTGGTCAGTGACCATGTTTAAGACCAGTGTCTTGTTAAAGGCTTAAGAGAGAGTTCAAATGAGCTCTGCCTGTTAATTGTTTTATCCACAGTTTGGGATATTAGAGAGCTCATTACATAACTATTAAAGTCCATTAGCCTGATGGAACATTAGCAAGGTAACCTAGCCAATAAGCAAGATTGTAGTTTGACTTTACAGTGACTTAAACTGTAGCTGTCTTGGTCAGTATTACTACATTATTTCTATTTTTCCTTACAGCATATTTGTTGTTTTCCAATTCTAGGCCAAGTCTAAGAGTAGTATACAATACATACACAATACATTGAGCTTTAACATAGTGGTTAGGTAATATGTGGGTCAGTCCTTTGTATGTGCCACATATACACGCTTTGGATGGACATGGATACATAATGAATGAAAGGATCCCATCTGGGACTGTCTGTGATGTCATGACATCAAGGTCTCTCTCCATTGGCCGAGCCAAGTCTGTTGGGCTGGCAGCAGTTGGCTGAAAGTAAACTGTCTCCACATCAGTGACGCTTCCCTCAGATCAGTTTGTAGGCTTTTGTTCTAGGTGAGCACGCATACTGTGACACCAAATCTGAGTACACAATGTACAGATATACACTTACAGTAGGAACTTATCAGTAATGGCTCTGTTCGACAGGCAGTTGATCTTCACATTACAGTTTGACAAAATGACTACATGGCATTAGTCTGAGCTGTGATGCTTTTTTATTTCCTGTCCTGTCCAGGTTTAGCTCTTTGGTGCTCCTGTTTCAGGCCCTCAACTGTTTCTTGGAGCAGTGACATATACATTTGAGAAAAAAAAGATCTGAAGTTAATGAGGTTAATCATTCCACTGCATGCACTGAGCTGAATCCATCCATCCATTTTCTACCGCTTAATCCCTGAACGGGGTCATGGGGGGGGGCGGAGCCAATCCCTGGCAATCGGGCGAAGGCGGGGTACACCCTGGACGGGTTGCCAATCCATCGCAGGGCTGCACTGAGCTGAATCCCTCCAGCAAATCTCTGAGCGCCCCATGTAACCATTTTGTGGTCCACAAGGGCTGCGCTGTCTTGGGTCAAGGTTGCCTCTCTTTTTTGTTTTACATTTCCTCTAATCAACAACTAATGCACTTTTTTCACTACTAAGATCTAGTGTGGTTTTTTTGTTTGTTTGTTTTTGTTTTGTGCTTTGCATCAGCTCTTTATCTGATCTTCCGTCTCCCTTGTCATCTTGTTTTGATAGTCTCTTTTAGGCTGTAATGTGGACTGTGGGAGCCTAATTATACCAGCGTGGAGGTACATGTGAGGTGTGTTGCAGTGCAGACCTATAGTGTGTGTCGGTCTGTGTGTATCAGCTGATGAGGGGTGACAGGGCAGCCTGGTACATATACCCATTCTCCTTGAGATAAACTAAGGAAGTGGCACAGTCTTAGCAGTGTGAGGGAGACTGGAGGTGGGTGTTTATTATTTTCAGGGAGTTTATGGCTAATGCATCCACTCTTCACTATAATCTGCCACAGGACTGCGGAGTAGGGTACCACTCTTGGCTTATCACCATCACAGAAAGGATGCTGCAGGAGACCAACAGGAAAAACATGAACAAGCAAAGGGAGTGTCTTGTAGGTGGCTGTGAGTGTGCGAGCAGGGTGTGTGGTCAAAAGTAGCTCATCCTATTGGATGGATCACCCTAATCTCTGCTGACAGTTTACATAACAAGAAGGGGAGGCAACACAACCACCCACCCTCCTGTCTCCCCTCACTGCACACACAATCGTCTGAGTCTATATTAGGCTTAGCACATGTGAAATAAGGAGGACTTAACACACTGACTCGTGGTTTCGTTATACGCACACACACACTCCTGCTTCCTTAACAGTCCTACACAGCTCCATCCTGGTCTCCACTTGCTGGTCAGGCTTCCTTATGTGAACCTCTACTGCTGAGGGGAGCAGGGGGTTGGGGCCAAAGTGTGCATGTCAAGAGGATGCAGGAGGTTCAGTGGTAGTGGTGGTGTTTGATTTGGGAGTATTTTTGAGTGGTGCTGGTGTAGGGGCCCTCTCCTTGGTTGGAGTGTGTGATTTTTAGCCCGAGAGCATCAATGAGAGAGAAGGGGCTGGCCGGGGCAGGAGGAGTGCAGGGCAGGGACGCCATGACCCTAAAGCTGCTCTTCTGGGAGCTGGAGAATCATCTGAAGAGGTAAAATGGCTGTGTTGTTGTGCTGTTGTCTAATCTAATTGTTGTTCAGTCAAATGTTGACTGGGTGGTGTTTTTAGTAATGATGACAAATACAAGTAGGATCTGCAGTTGTTGAAGTATTTGTATACCGAATACCTGCTGTTTCAGTTCTTGTGCCTGCGTCTACCTGCAACATGTTCAGCCTCCCTGATGGGCTCTCATGCATTTGAGGACATGATGTTCTTACTTCTACACATACATGCTGTAACCTGTGAGTGTGAAAGCATCTAGCTGATGTTCACTCACACTAATGTGGTCCTGGCCAGACCCAGACCAAGAATAGTTGCTGTGTGACGCTTGCTTTCAGATTAGTTTCTCTCTCCAATTTCAACTGCGAGTTGAGCATCCTGTTGCAGTTCCTCAGCTGATCCAGTCAACTCGTATTTGCTTCCCTGTGCTCAGTTATCAAGCTATTAGACTTCTGTATCCCAAACCCAGTAAACTGTGTACAGCCTAGTCAGTCTCTAAAAACATATTCATCCAGTTTCTTACAGTCTTTACTTTTGTTCTGCACATAACTCCAAATTTGTACTTTTTATCCGCAACATGTTTGAATACACAAAACAGTGCAGACAGGTGAAGCTGCTCCTTTGGGGGCAGGACAAAAGGAGAAGTCATTACAACTGTTATTTTCCAGTTCTCTAAAATGACTGTCCTGTTAAAGTTCCTGTGACCACAGCCAAAATCCGTGACAGAACCAGAGGAAGTAAATTACAGAGATGTGAGCAGGTGGAGGAGTTTGGTCTTCTCCTCAGACAAGCTTCTGATTTCCAGACTTGGTACCAGTCAGTGAATGTTTCCAGCCAGAGACATATTACATTGCTAAGGTGCTTGAAGAAGGGCAGGAGCTCCTGACATGCTCGGCTTGAGATGACCGGTGAAGCTCTGAGACTTCTCCTCATCCAGGTGTGAATTCATTTAGCTTGTAAACAATAAAAAGGAAATTAGTCCTTGATTGCCGTAGCTGCACTTCCACCTCACTTCTTGTGTGTTCTTTATGCAGACTGTGTTTCCATAGTGACAACATCAGTCCACACCTACATACTATCAAGTCGCATTAGTGCAACTAAACAGATAAGTGATTACACCCTGGGGAAAATGAAACTTCTGCCTTTGTGTATTTCAGTTGCCCTTGATGGTGGTTTTAGGTGCTGTGACTAATCCGAGTTACCACAGGTAGTCCAGAAACGATTTTCATTATTGATTATGCCGCCAATAATTTTCTTAATCATTTAATCTTAGGAAAAATATCCATCATAGGTTCCAATGTGATGTCTTCAGATGTCTAGTTTTATCTGACTAACAATCTAAAAACTCAAAGAAACCAAATGACAACAGTGTAAACAGAAAAGCATTGTTCATGTTTGAGTGGCTGGACCCAGCAAATGTTTGACTTGTTGTGCTTGATAAATAAGTAATAAGTCTGGTTGATTGTTTTGTGGATTCACTCATTGTTTCAGAAGAAGAAACGTTTAATACAGTTGCCAGATAATTTGTAATTCCTCCTTACTGTTGCAAAACAGAGTAATGGTCCAGTTTTACTCTGGACATTGTGTTCCCATTTCACTCGGTCTGGGAGGATCAGTTTCACTATCTGCCTTCTGAACATGGTCTCCGTTTGAAGGATGTTCATCACAGACGGGGCTGAGGTCGGCTTCTACCACAAGGCCAGCCCGTGGCCAACTGATTCTATTTACTCAAATATGCACCAAGCCAATCCTTGTTTGCATCTTGGTGCGTGTGACCCTTAAACACGAGTTTCAACCGATAGGTGGAGACATTGTTCCACATTACAGCTTGTGTTTGCTGACCAAAGTTTCCCCATCACCTGAAGCCTACTTATGTAAATGAAATCTTCCACATCTACACTTTACCCCCTTTTGAGACCGTTAAAAGCTAAATGTGCGGCTTGTTTTACAGTAGAGTCAGCTCCTCTGTGCTTTCATAAGGTTTCGGTTAGATGCAGCCTTTTAGTGAGGACGTTGCAGCTGGTAGAGATGTTTCATACATGATTGCTCCTCCGCCTCCCCCCCAGCACCAGCTCCTCGCATGCATTATGCTAATGAGCCGCCCTCTCCGCCAATCGTGTGGCTGCTGTCGCTGTTTTCCTGCAGCTTCAGCCAGAGAGGGAGCCGCGGTGTGCGGAGCCGCAGCCCGCCGCTTCAGTCTTTGTGTGCTCCGTCCAGAGAGCTGCAGTCTCCCGGAGCAGACCCAGTGTCCAGCCCCTCAACAATGCGCTGTTTTTCTACTTTTCTACCGCTGGATATCCAGTTTGTACAGCCTATGGCTCTCCGGAGCGGGTTTTAATGGACGGGGTAGCATGAATTCCCAATGTTACACAGTGGCCATGGACCTTGGCGTTTGTCAACTGAGGAATTTATCGATATCGTTTCTGTCTTCTGTGCTTGGGAAGGAGAGCACATCAGTCAGGCTTGACAATAGGTAATGTCAGCAGGCTTTTCTGTGCAGTATTCAATAAATACTGCCTTATTGATTCTTCGCCAGCAGTCAAACCCCGCTTTCCTGACCTCCATTTTCCTCGTTTGTTTCACACACTAATTCGGATTTCTACACTTTTATAGCATATCTGACCCCCCCGAGTGTCATTTTGATTTGGCAGCATCAAACAGCGAATGCCAGTCACGTCTCCGTCATAAAAATTCCCTTGATGGAGACATTGTCACAAAACACACACTCAACACTCCCAATCAATCCTGTTATTTTCTGTCTTCCAGCTCCTCGGGTGCAAGTGTGGTGGCCATCGACAACAAGATTGAACAGGCGATGGTAAGCTGCTGTTTGAAGGCATCTAAATTCCAGTCATGTTCCCGCACTGTTTGTAAATAGGCCCGTCTCATGCTCTACTTGTTTGCGCTGCCTCCGGTGTTATGTAACCCAGGCACGGATGTGGACGCGCACATCAGTGTTACCATCTCCTGCTTTTATTTTGATAGCCTGTCAAATGCTATCTGCAACGTGTTGCTGTGGTTTTATTAAAGTGGGAACTGCCCTTGAGCAGTGAATGAGTTTTAGTAAAAGTGAAACTACAGGTGCATGGTTTCCCGCACATGTGCACCTGCTGGAATGCGAACGGGAGGTAACAGGAGCTTCCTGCTCCATCACCGTTAACATTGGTGTCCTCGGGCTCACTGGCAGCTTGATGTGGGCCAGGCTAAGGTTCACACCCTGTCGCTTTTTATAATGCATATACATAGTGTCTCTCCCTCGCTCCCTCTCGGCCCCATGTTGCTAGGCAAGCAGCAGCCTTTCCGGGCTGGTATAAATAACTCTGCCTGTGATTGGCTCCTCCCACCCCGGTGCAGGAACATTCTGTTCCCGTGGCAGCGAGGAGGAGGAAAGGAGAAGGGGTGGGTTCACAGAGGAGAGGATGCTCAGCAGAAGCAAGCAGCAAAAGTGTGCAGCACAAAGTAGTTTCTCTGTTTTACAGAGCAGTTCATGTGTTAACATCCCCTGTTTCCCTGCTGTCACACACCGAGTTACCTGGAATGTGCATTCCAGGTACAATACTGTATACAATGCTGTATGTGCAAGGTCTACTATGTTAATTTAGGATTTGCACTCTGCTGTCCCCCATTTTCCTCTGTTGAGAGTGGCTACAGTGTTTCTGAGTAAGTTATTATTCAGTTAGTGGTTTTGATGTCCCTGTTGTGGGGTTACATTTATATCCAGAGTAACTAAAAACGTGGATTAGGCAAAACATATTACAAACATTAGGATGAAGTTATGATGGATTGTTTACAGAGTTATCAGTGAATCTACCACTTATTTTCTTCAGTTATTTGTATTAGTTTCCAAAATGTAAAATATGTCCGGCACATCTCCCCAGAGCCTGAGATCATGGAAGAAGGAGTCTGAATTATTTATCTAACTATTCCTCACTGTTTATCTCCCTCGCTCATCCTCAGGACTTGGTGAAGAGCCACCTGATGTACGCCGTGCGTGAGGAGGTGGAGGTGCTGAAGGAGCAGATCAAAGAGCTGATCGAGCGCAACACTCAACTGGAGCAAGAGAACAACCTGCTCAAGACCCTGGCCAGCCCCGAGCAGATGGCCCAGTTCCAAGCACAGGTGCAGACCAGCAGCTCCCCGCCCAGCACCGCCCAGCCTCCTGTCCCTGTCCCAGCAACATCGACACAGGTCCTCCCCTCCACACAAAACTCCAGCTCATCTGCTTAACACAGAAATGGCAGCGTGCCCCCTGAAGATGAGAGATTGCCATACTGTGAACTGGTTCATCAAGACCGACTATGCCACACACTTCAGCTTAACCAGAGGATGACAAACTACATTTTTGTTGCACATTTTATTTAACTAAGACTTTAGAGATACACCTGTGTGTGTGTGTGTGTGTGTGTGTGTGTCTGCTTTGTCTGCCATTTTATTTGCCTGCTTCACACAATCACCGTTGTCGTGCTGGTCGTGGTGATGGTGAGAGGAAGAACAGAGCTGACAGGAAATCACACTCAACCCTCAACAGTTGCTGCCATCATTCAGGTCCACCTGGTGAAGGAGGAGCTAACACAGGGCCCAGCCAATCAGGGGAGTGCGCTGAATGCCCTTGTTAGTGTCGTCGAAACCCTCACAGTGTGACCTGTGGAAAGTGTGCCATTGCCTCATCCCACTTCAACCCATCTGTACACAGGTTTTACTTGGTATGTTCTACTTTTTGGTTTCCTTTTTCAGACGATACTGACAGTGGACAAACTTTAAGGCTTTATACAACCCATCTGGAATGAGAAACAATCCAGCTCCGTCCTCACAGCATGTGAAGATGACATCAGTCTTCTGGGTTGAGAGGGGTTATAAATGTATGGAAATGGATATTAGCTATGCCTCGTTGTTCAATGTGAGAAGTTGTTCATGTTGCCATTTCCACCCTGAGCGCACACTCGCCCCTTCTTGGATGGAGCATTAAACATTTATGCAGGGAATCAATGTTTTTTAGTGAGGGCTGGGAAAGATGTTGATGTAATTATTGTCATAGTGGTCTGTAAAAATAAATAAGAGGCAAATAAATAGGACACGACTGTTTCTAAGTAGTGAACTTTGTACAGACAAAGTTTCCAATTAAACTCTGCCAAGTGCCTGGTCTCTAACCATAGATACATATATACAACAGTTTTTAGTTGTTTTAATCATGTATTTGTGTGTGTATGTATGTATGTATGTGTGTGTGTGTGTATATATATATATATGGTTTGCCAGGTATTAACTACCTGTGGTGTCATTACTCAGGTTGAGACCAGATTAGGATTATTGACCTCCACACTTAGATGCTGTCTCTCCTGCAGTGACTCACGGTCTCACACTGTACATGCACTCTCCTCCGCCCTCACTTCAGACTAACTCGCTCAAATCTGTTTTAGCATTTGGGGACATGTGTAGTTTATTTTTTATCAATGACTATTGTTTTTCTTTCTTTTTTTGTACCGCCAAGTGTTTTGAGTTGCTCATAGTGGAACTGGAGCACTGAATACGATAATGAATCTCTTGGTTTTTAAAAGCAGGGAAAATGCCTAGCAGACGTATGTCAGTGTTTTGTGCATGTTCCTCAGCTCATCACAAATGTGACGTTACATTTGCACTAGACAGTTGCACCTCCAATAAAAGTGAAAAAAGCAAGAATGGGAGTGTTTGGTTTTCTTTTTACATTCAAGTTAATATGGGTAAGTTTAATTTGATCTGGACTTCTACTGTCTCCCCACTTGGCCCAGATTTCCCAGTTTAAAGCCTCAATGGGAGCTTAAGCCTCATTATGCACAGAGGTGGACCACCACGCAAGTATAGACGTCTCATTGATCATATATGACTGACCCCTGTGACATCATTCTGTGGTTACTCCGCCCACCACTTCTGCACATGGACCTGCACACTGATGTGCAAATGGAAGCACTCAGCATCCTGGCATGATGTCACCCTTATGTCTAAGTGCTGAGATGAAAATACATAAATTATATGTCCTGTATTTAAATGTGTATCACTTGAAATGTGTTTTTTTGTGTGTAAACTGACTTTAAAAACCACCTTCAAATGTATTTACCATTCTTGGTGGAAGTAATTAACTTTACTTCAGTACAATTCTATGTTACTTGTACTGGATTTAGTTGTATGATAAAAATGAGAGACCCACAATAATAATAATAAAAAAAGGATCACAGGTGCTATGATTGACAGCTACAGTAAGCACTCAGAACAGGCTCGGTGAACGATATTTAATTTCAAGGTCAAATCTTAACCTTGACCAAGAGCAGCTCAGTGTGTGTTTGATGTTTTTAGCAAACTTTTCCTAGGCTACACTTTCCTCCTGTTTGCCAGCAGAGTAGGGAGCTCATGTTTTATACTCAGTCGCTCAGAACGTGGGTGTTCACAGCTTTTCTCAGCAAACTGTGATGTTCATCTCTTTTAACCAATGCAGCATTGTGTTTTTTTAAATCTATAGAAGCAATAATGCTTCTGTTTGGAGTGTTCTGGGTCAAAATCTAATCAATCATGACATTTGATCTGATGTGTACCTGTCCTGCCCGGCCCCCTCCCCGCTCCCCTCCAGCCTCTCTTCCGCTCTCCCTCCCACATCCTGACCCCAGAATGTCTGTCTGACTGGCACAGTGGATCAGACACTGTTGTTTTAATCATGTATTCACATTTCACAGTTCCTGCTCTGCTGTCCCGATGACACTTTCACAAATCCCTTTTCAGTGACAAAAGATGTCTTGGAGCATGCTGGTGCAGGATGTACTCTGAGGCCAAGGTATCGCATGCAGATCAACTTTGCCTACTTCTGCTGCTGCTTTTGTTTGGAGGCACAAATTTAGAAGGCCAATATTTTTTATGACATTGACCAGCATGCACATACTACCTTTACTTTTGACCCAATATTCCAGACATACAAAGACCATCTTGCCCAAAAATCCAGCTTCAAATAATCCTCTTTACACCCCCTAAACTGGACCTCCACAGGTGATGTTCTCCTTATTGCTGAGAAAGCAGGTGGCCTTCTGGGTAAACCACAAACCCCATCTCTTCTCGGTCCCCCAAGATGATATGTGAGGATTACCTCATACAGTATCTGGGCATGAGAAATAAACGCCATTTGTGTACACATACCTTAAGGAAACCTGTTAAGTGCGTTCATCGCTGTGAAATCCCAAATATGCAATTGCTAAAAACCTGATGTTGTAGCTGAGCTAGGAGGAAAATTCAATCTAGAACATCTGACCAGCAGCTGGTGCATGTGATTTATGTTTAGGAAAGATGTTTTCATCATGAACAATTTTGCTTTAAAACAATTATTTTCTACTTTTTACATAACACAGACTCAGCAGTTTATTTTATAGTGAACAGCTAACTGACATTTTGGACATTTGTGCCATGGGTACTACTTTGTTTGTTGCATTGTGAGACTTTTTGAGGGCACTACATAATAGTGTCAAATATAATCCAGCCACCCAAATATGATTTCAGGCATGACCCTTTGAGGTTTTTAAATGGCAGCTGCGATAGGCGATGAAGGGTTCAGTCCCATAGCTTCAACAGCAACAGTGAAAAGGCAAATCGGTTTCTTTCAGTGGATTATATTTCCCTCAAGCCACAACACTGTGACAATGAGCCAGCATGGACCCTGGAACTGAAGCAGCTTAATGTTGTTCAGCCATCATTCATTTTATTATTTACATCTGGATGCAGACTTCATTTTTGTTTTTCATACCTTTCCTTGACAGGATGGTTTCTGTTCCTACCAAGAAAAAGCAGTGTAAGTGGTAACCTAAATTCTGTTTGTGAAGCCCTCTGATTGTGTTAGATTACAATAAGAGGTTAATGCAGAAACACCAAAGCTGCAGATAAGGTTGTGCTGTGTATGACCATGTCTTCCATTTTAACTAGGACAACTATTTGATACCACATGTTCGATCGATCAATATCTGTGTCCTCCTGCAGTGGAGTCTTGTTGTCTGTCACATGTGCAGACACACACAGTACTAACTTACAACTGAAGTCAGCCGCCACCACGAGCCTGCACCAATCTGAACATCCAGTTATTTCATGCACCATGTGATACCAAACTAAGCAAACCTCTAAATGTGCCTGTGGACATTCCCAGGAAATGACCACCTCTGCTATACTGGCCCCTGTTAACTGGAGCTGATTGAATGAAGAGCCTGTAGCTGGGCCATGACTGGGAAGCAGCTGCAGGGAGGTGTGAACACGCAGCTGCACTTAAGGAGAGCGTGAGAAAGGAGGAGCATGTGAGTTCCTTCACCCACAGAGGTAAAATCCCAAAGCTATTGTCTGAGTCACAGATGTAAAGTCACATGTTTCTGATGTATTTACATTACCTTCCAGGAGGAACTGTCAGTTTGGCCTGTTGTCTCCATTACATCTTGTTCTAACCCTCAAGCAAAACGACAGAGAATCAAGGTGAGAAACAAAGATGTTTCCATATTGTTCCACTTTTAAATAGACTCAAATTTTAAAATTTTACCTCAGCTTTTTTCATTCACATCTTATAATGTCTGCACATTGGCCTTGAAGTATTAAAAGACAGAACAGTTTTGACTTGTTTAATGCACAGCAACACATTTCAGATCTTATTATGGTTCAGGTTCAACAGTCACACACATTACCTCAGGAACGTGCCCCCTATGCCGAGCAACAGCCCTCCAAAACCTGAAAACAAACACAGACAGGGAGGCATGTACTGTAGCTGGTGCCCCCACTGGGGAGAGAAGGGGATTGTAGAAGATCATGGCCCTCTCTTATCATTCACTTTTCCTCCCCTTCACACCTTCTCTTGCAGATCATTGACGTGCATGGCTGAAGTGTTACTGGTTTGTCTTCACTTGGCTGTCTGTGTGAAATATTTCTCTATTATGTCAATCTGCTTTGCTGGATTCTTAAAGGTCTGCATACATTTTTTTTAGTGGTGTCACTGTGAAAAAGGATTCACATTCTTGGTGTGTTAAGCATCTCTTAGATGTAATGAATACACAAAACACAGAACAGTTGAATGTATGGAGTGTGAGAAGGGAGAGATTTCTTTCTGAATTTACTCCTTTTTGGTCTTCTGAAGTGGAGAATCTTTGTTAGTCTGTCCTTAGCTCATGTTCAAGATCTTCAAACTAAAATTAGTATTTAAAAACACCACAAATTAATTAAGTGTTACAAAATGAAAGGTAGCAGCAAATGTGGAGTAACGCTAAATGACACTTGGATTCTTTGGCTGACATGCTGTGAGTTTGTGTCAGCACGTGGATGAGTCTTTTCTGTGCAGCCAGACAGTTATTACATCACAGTTGAAGGAACACAGCAGGAGAGACCACGACAGGCCCAACAATGCTGCATTCGCTTAAAGAGCTTTGCCTGCTAATCACGTTGTTTACGACACAGGTGGTTTCACTTTATTAGAAGGGCGCTTGAAGAACTTAAATTCATGAGTCACACGGTGAAGTAAAGAGAATAATGTGTCTGGAGAAAAGGAATTTCTTAGCTTATGTCAGCACAAGAGTGTAAAATGATCGGACTGACCTACATTTGGCATTTTGTTCAGTGAATTGCCACAAAACCAAACCTTTATCTCCTTTCAGTCCAAGTGTGTATTTATCTGTGTATCTCTCTTCAGTTCATTAACTAGATACAGCTGAAAAAATCTGCTTAGTATAATCAACACATGTCAGCTAGAACTGAGAAGCTGCTTTTGTCTACCTGTCTGACATCAAAGACCCACATATTTGACAAATTCTCAACATTTCCAGTGGTAAATCTGTCACCATTATATTGTAAACTGCTGATTTGCTACGCAAGGATGCAGAGGTTGACAGATGTTACCCGAGCTTATTAAACAGGGGCATTGTCCTCACACTGTGGAATCAGCGGTAATCGATTTCCATCCTTACACATTGTTTCATGAAGTGCAAACAGTCCGTTCTCTGGCTGATAATGTGCTGATCAGCAATGATCAGAGGGCACGCACAGCTGTCACAATGCCAGTGTGAGCATTAGCTACGTCCTTCCTGTGCCTCGACAACTACATGTCCACTCAGCACTCACAGGTCAGAGCTGAGGAAAGACCCTTGAACCTTGTGTGACACAGTAACAAGAACCACAGCCGTCTCAAAAATAGGTTCATGAAACACGTGCACTAATAATCAAAGTGAAGGTGACCCGGCAGACAGAGGCTAAAACCTGTCAGGTGTTGTACAGCAGAAATCTGTTTCCCTTTATGCAAATTCACCTGTTTGAGCAGGTGTGGACCAAGTAACTGGACAAAGCCTGAGACTAGATCAGCCTAGATACTAGAAGCTTTGTGTACATAGGTAAATAAGCACCTGAGGGCATCATCTGGTTGACATCTGCTGGAGCCCTTCACAGAAACACACACTGTGTTGTGTTTGTGGAGATGTAGACTGGGTATGCTCAGTGTACAGAAAGGTTAAACAAGCCCTGACTTTCCCTAAGAGCGTATTTGCTCTGAGATCATCTTTCCTTCAGTTTCAGGAGCTGCCACAGCCATGACAGCTTCCTTTGCATCTCATTTTCTTGTTGCAGTTCTGCTTAGGGAGTGATTTGTTTTTTAGCCTCCTGCAGCTAAGAGAGAGATGGGGCTAATCTAGGTCAGGCAGGCACTG